CTAGTGTTACGGATGGCTCCGTCGGTCAGCATGCGCTCGAACGGGCTCTTGCCGAATAACCGGGAACTTCAGCGACCTGACGAGAGCGTTACGTAGCTAAAGAAAATTTGCTTTTCTGGCAGCATGTTCCACAAGGAGTAACTCATGGTGAGGTGGAGTGCCCATCAAATTTGTTCACAATCATTCCATCTCCACGAGAGATCCTTTTTCGCCATCGCGTTGTGCAGTCACGAATTTGAAGTCGTCTTATTGCCCCAGCTCCGCAGTGCAGTTGTGCCCTGCCAGCTGCCTTATTTGTTGACGGCATCTTCACCTGCAGCTAGGCAGGAGCAAACTTTACAACCCTGGATCAGATGCAGTAGATAGACTACGGAATTAATGAAGCTGCAAAAATACACTTTGATATGGCCTTCTCGTGATATACGAGCCTCGCCTACTACATTTACGTTCTTGAGGGACTAATTGATGGCTCACCTCGTGTTTGTGCATCGAATCTCTGCAAATGGATAGCTACGCAGCATCAGAAGATGCAACTACCCTAGCTCCCTCGTGTGAAGCCAAAGCTTTTGTGTCGATGGAACTCTCCACGCGCTTCGAGCAACTAAAACGGAGCAAAACGTGAGGCTTCCGCCGTCGCGTTAACTGTTAAATATTATTTGAAGTTTAAATGTGTCTTTCATTTGAAAACAACAATATAAAACTCATGTCTGTGTATATTTTGATACATTTAAAAATATCATATGGGGTGAAAATGCATATTTTGTATGCGAGGAGATGAACATAATACGCTCCCGATTCCGGAGAGGGCTTCACAGGGATGCACAAGCTCCTCGCACGCTTGGAATGAAACAATGCGTGAGAATAGCTTCTTTGGACTCACAGCATTAAATTCTTGTCAACCTTTTCCTCACGAAAGGCATCAGTGATACCTTTCATGCAGCTAATTTTGGTGGTGCGCTTCCAATTGCTGGCATGCACCAACTGTCACAGAAGTGAAGAGCATTGCCACAAAACGGCACACTGTGGAGTGCCTTTATTTGAGGAGTCACCGCATGAAGAGATGAGTGCTCACATGTGACAAAGCATGAGCTCCTCTAGATAGTTCGAAGCCATAAGTTGATATCACAAACAGAATAAAAAACACACTAGAGCACAATCCGTGCCATCCGCACTAAGCGGAAAGAGCTGCACCGGTTGGCTCTGTTGTACACATACGATCACCGAACAGGTGCCATAGCCTAGTATTTAACTTCCGCTTTTACGCTCCTAATAAGACATTGAGATCGCCATATACGGTCCCACCGTACATTATTCCGACTCAGTGAAACTTACGACTTGCTGATCGTACCACCTTTCGACGTAATCGCTTTTTCTAGGTCACTGACCTCTTGTGCATCACTCATTAGTGTACTCAACCGGCTGTGAGCATTGATTGCTTGCTGTAACAAATCAGCCCCTCCCGTTCCTTTCTCAAGCGCTGCAGTGAACTCGGACGCGCAAAACTGTACTCCCAGGGTGACTTCCACACGCCCTTCAGAAGCCGCTGCACTGAGTTCTCGGACAAGAGTTGAAATCTCAGGAGAGCTCACAGGACCCCTATTCAAAAGAGTTAAGTCTTCAACTAGCCCCATTGACTCCCCTACAAGTGAATGTAGGTGCTCTACCAAACCCATATGATTGCCAGTTGGGTGCCTTCCGCGAGAGCGTTGCCTTAGGTCTTGCGCGTTTCGTGTCGCCGATCCTAGGACTTGATGTTTCGCACGGAGGTTAGCCGCCCACGTTGGCGAGACGCTTCCGTGGAGGCTCATACACAGCTTTAGACACTCTACTTTCTGCTCTAAAACCTTCCTCAGGGTGGGAGAGAAACCCGACACAGTCGAAGTGACTTGTTCGGCTTCTTCGAAGAGTTGGAGACCTTCCTTGAGCGTATTCTCTGCCAAGGGGTGGGTGAAGCGATCCGTCTTTGCTGCAGTGGATACCGGCCCAGCAGACGCTGAAAAAGTCGTCATTCTCATGGACAAGTCTTTCAGCTTTTTCTCTAACTCCGTATCTTCCGTGGCGGCCGGTTTGTCCTTTTTTGGAGGCCGCTCTGGTGGGGGAGGGTCCTCGCCAGGTGGCGTAGGCTTGCCTCCAGGTGGTGGAGGCGGAGGTGAATCCCCTGGTGGCTGTTGGCCATCTCCTGGTGGTGGGGGCGGGGGTTCTTTTCGCTCTGACGGGGCGCCGTCTCCTCCCGATGCAGCACCGTCCTCTGGGCGGTCA